TTAATACTCATTTGCGTTGTGAATCATGATATTTAAACTTGCATAACAATTTAAAACAAGATGAATAATAATAAATCATTTTTTTAAAAATGAGCAAAACATCAACGTAAGTTATACTGTTCTTATAGATATTTTAGGGATAAATTTGAGGTAGAGAGTATATTTTCTGAAAATTAGTTTGTATGAGAACTGGCGATTGTTTGACTTTCGAAAATGGGTAATTACTTTTCTCTAAAAAAAGTATAGCAGACAAACTTGCAATCCTTAGTAGCAAAATAAAAATAGTCCTTTATTTAAAAGGGGGTTATGATGGATATTGAAAATGAATATTAAAAACTACTAAAGGACTTTGAATTCAATTCTTTTTTAAAAAAATGCCTAAGAATAGAGTTAATGGCGGCTTACATATGGAAGTCATTTTAATTTTAAAAACACATTAAATAATGAGAATTTAAACTTTATACTTTTTAAATGTCAAATTTATTCGGCTAACCACTTTATTTTTTATTGTAATAGCGGTTTAAGGACTAAGAAAACGTTTCTTTCTTGCTTTGAATTCTCGAAAAAGTCTGCATTTTCGATCAAAATTTTAAAATACAAACCTCATTTTCAGTGCCTTCTTCTGAATAATTTTATTTCTCTAATAAGGGGGGTGCGATAGACTTACCTCCACGTGGTGCACCCTGGGCAACGTTTACTCATATGGCAAAAAAGTCTATAAACTGGCAGTTGACTTCTGATTCCGAACTATCATGACTCCACGGTATGTCATATTCGACTTCTTCTACAGTATTCAACTCACCTTTTTCCTACCTTCGTCTTTGAATCACTCTTCTGTCCCAACCTATCGACTTTCTTTCATTTTGATGCACCTTCTCCTCTCTGTGAAGCCTGAAGTCAACTAAAGGGCTAATGATAACCATCACAATGCCTGCCATTTGATATAAATAAATAAATTTCTATTAATAAAGAATGACAATTAACTTTAAAATATATTTAGCAAATAATTTCTTCTACCTACATCTAATTTAAACATTAAATATGGCACAAAATTCAGGAAACAGATTAAATATCTCATTTGTAGTAAAAGTGGCAATTTTATTGCGGATACAAAATTGAGATTTTTCTCAAAAATTTATAATTCCCCAGGTAATGCAAACAGAACATAACAAGTATATTAGTTATTTCGACGAATCTCTGACATACTTTCCATTACTGTAAATCGTTATCAAATATCCATGATTGAAAAGAAATTTTGGTTAAGAACATGTGTCTTACAGAAGAGTATCATGCCAATTTCTTTGCCTAATTCTAATATTTAAAATGCTGATTATTCATTGGTGTAATGAATTAGCTTCTCATATTCTATTTTAATTTTAAGCATTTAACTTCTGAATTTTTCAGTAAATTCTTTTCTTTTCTATTCAAATCGTCCGGTTGGTCTTATCACTTCAATACATTTCTTTCTTTTAAAGTCCACTATTTTTGTTTAAACTCACATTTTAAGTTTTTCCTTCAACCATATTGCAAAGCTGAGATCATTCAAGCTGAACTTAAATGATCTTCAAAGGTCTAATTTGAGATATTTCTCCAAAATGAACAATTGAGGAATGGAGTCAAGTGTTACTGTTCTTAGCAATTCAAGCCCGATTCACTAATGGAATATGGATATTAATTTATTTAACTGTTTTCAAACTATTACATATTATTACTAATTTACACAGAGCTTTGAGAGTTAAACATCTTTTCTAGGTTATATATAACTTTATCCCCTATAGGGTTGACATGAATCGAAGTTATCTGTCAAGGGGTGCGCAATAGACTTACCTCCACGTGGTGCACACTGGGCAACGTAAACTTATACCGCAAAAAAGTCTATTAATTGGCAGTTGACTTCTGACTTCAAACAACTATCTACTACTCATCTTACCTTTTTATGCCTTTGTGTCTGTCTGTCTGTCTCTCTTACATCTGTGAATCACTCTTCTGTTTCCCCTCTCGACTTTTGTCACTTTGATGTTCCTTCTTCTCTCTGTGAAGCCCCGAAGTCAGCTGAAGAGCTCATGATAACTATCAAAACGCCTGCCATTTGATGGAAACAAATAAGTTATCTGTCAAAAGTGTTTACGGATATATTCGAAAGATTGTTTATTTGGTTTAAAATGCCCATATGCCAAGCCAAATGTGTTTATATGATGCTATTTTGGACGCTATGCTTTTTCAATATGTCAAGTACAATCTGCGCATTTCACCTGCCTCCTCGTCTTTGAATAGAAATATCTCGGTTGATTCGCCTCTGCTATTCACCCAGTTTTCTGCGCTCGGGATGGACCTTCTGCCGCANGGGCATTGTATATCAAGCCAAAAGCACTTATAGTTTCCTTAACCTCGAGTTTTTCATGACGGTTCTTTATGACCTATGCATGTCCATGTAATTTCCCGTCATAGTTTATGCGAACAGCTGGCAGCCGAATCTCATAGCGTCTTGGTGACATGGCAGTTCCCTAGATTTACAGCGTTCTGAAGGTCTTTAATGGGTCTTGGTTTTTCAGTATCATTTACTTTATTTATTTCTTTGTAAGTTGAATTTGGCGATAATGTATATCTCAGCATCCATTTAAAATGACCTCTTAGAAGTGTTTCTTATTAAAACCAAACTCATAATCCCTTCTGATGCTTATTAGGACTTATAATTGAAGCCATGTCTTTAGTTGAGACGTTAGATGTCATATATGTTTCTCAAAATGTACTGTGAGGACTAAGTCATACGTTTCAACACAAATCAGTCTAGTCCGTCACTAACCTGTCTAGCAAGTGTGGGTGACTAATCTCTATTTAAATAACATGGTATGACAGAAATCTTAAGACCCAAGCCATTGATTCTTTTAAATTGCTCATAATTACTATCAAATCTGTTTTGCAATGCATGCCTTTTAAGAGTACTTTTGCATTTACTGTCCTTCCATTTTTGCATAATTCAAACTTTCTGCTCACTTGAGATTGTAAGTCGGTCTCCCTAAAGTTCTTGTTTTTTCTCTTATTACAATTTAGTCATATGACCTGAATTCAGGGGAGAAGTGGGAAAGGTGTCCGCGCGTGTTTACCTTGAGCGCACTAATTTTAGTAATTGGCTTAATTACTTACTCTGAATTTACATAAGTTTCTACTGTGTTTTAATATAAGGTGCCACTTTGAGTGCAGTTGTTCCATACGCTCTATCTGGGAAGGTGGGAAAAGACCTTTTTTCTCAACAAGGACTTGATACTTATGTGGGCGCAAAAGTTAGATATTTGGATAACTGTGATTGGTTGGTTGATTAGACCTCATCCTCAAGAATAACCAAAGATTCCTGTAACTGATGTGTAAACTCTGTCCTCTGATTTTTTATGAATTCTGTTTCCTGTCAATTTTAGGCGGTATTAAAAATATAATTTGAACACCTTTTATTATAATTTAGGCTGATCGATCTGAAATTCTACTCTAGGTGATGTTAGGGATAAGCCATATTTTCTTACCAAGAATCACATGGTGATCAAAATGTCAAATATCAAATATCAATTCCTACTATTCAAAATATACGTTTGATATTGTGAAAATGTTTAAATTAAAAATATTCAGACATATCTACGAGAGGCCTATTTGCCCGGAAAATATGGTAGTAAAATTCGATCTACTAGTGTTCTTTTACCTAGGATTGAGAAAAACCTGTTTTAGATTTAATTTACTATGTGACTTAATACCAATGTGCGAGATAAAGTTGAACTCTCCTGTTTTTAAACGCGCTATTAATCTATTGGCTTTTTGGTACTATAAGGATATTTGGTATGAAAAGCTAGCAATCATTCTGAATTAGTTGATCTAAAACCAGATAGGTAGAGTTCCCACGTTATAATACCCGTCCTAAGAGGCGAGAAAAGCGTGATTAAATGATATCAAAGATATTTCACCTTCTTTAAAGCCCTGTTACTAGTGTTTGACTAATATATAATTAACTAATAAACTCATTATTCAATGCTATTTAGTTTACTAATAGTAGTGATGCGACACAATTTTCTTTTAGCCCCAGACCTAAGAAAGTGAAGTGATGCATCTACACGCCTTATTAATCTAACCCATACCAAGTCCATCCTTATGAGCAGTTGACTGATTTCACACCTTTTCCTATAATTTTAGAAATTAGCTTTAACCTAGTTAGAAAATCATGGCGTAATAACTTTTCAAGGTTCAAGATTCAGAATCACATTCCAGGTAGGGGGTTTGCGTATGCTGGGTTGAGAATTTACTGGTCGCGAAATCTCTGTACGTATCACGACCAATAGATGTTGGCTAAGAAATTGTTGAGGGAACGGTGACAATATGCTATTAATGTTAATGTATGGAGTAGTTTCATTTGTTACACCAACCTATAATTATTTTTCTGAAGTTACAAATTTTACCTTTCTCATCTCTATTAAATTTCACAATGCCTTTAAGTTATATGTTCGTAATTTTTTTTTCGTTTAATGTATATTTTTTATTATTATGGATTGATTGATTGCGAATGCCTTATTTTGTTTTTGTGAATACAGCCAACACATCTTTCCACTTGGCTATTCGCAGTGTTTTGCTAAGTACCAGAGAAAATCCCACAAGAAGATATAAAATCTTCTTTAAACTTGCTGTCTTAAAAAAAGTAAGCCATGGACTATCCTATAAGACCATTTGTCTTTTTGACCAGAGGGAAAAATGCAGTGAATGGGCATCACCGACTCTGTCCATTTAGATAGCGTCCAATCAATCAGAATTGAACACCATAGACAAATATCTGTTACAATCTAATTTTGAAACGTGAACTGCCGCCTATTTGGTAAATATTGTACAACTCAAATTCAAAAAACAAGAGAAATTGGACTCTCACAATCTTCTCACCCCCTTATCGCCTGTTGGACATCAACTGCTCCCCTCAACTAAGGATTATAAACCCCTTTTTTGTATTACGTGATGTTTTATAATTGGAATTGATGGAGAGTAAAAGTCGGGGACTGTAAATGTCCTTGTATGAAATTTGGAATAATTTGTTATTTCTTTAATGCTTACTAATTATAAGCTTACTTTGAATTGTGACCTAAACTAAAGTTTGGACTCCAGTGCGTTCCGAATATTCAATGCTACTTACCCATCGTATTGGACTGCGCGCTATTCCTATTAGCATCTGTCTTCCTATTCTTATATCCATAGCGATAACACTTTCATACTTATGTCTTTTAGCCTTTATAATGAGTACAGATGGTGAATTTTTATGAGGTTGACATCGTTCAAATTTGGTGGTTGTAAAAAACACTTTGAATAACTTGGTCTTGTTTTTCAAACCTTCAAATCCTTTCACAGTGACATAGAAGCGTAAATTTTTGTTTCTTTCAGCCTGACAATCTTCGAAGCTAATGAAGCTTAATTCCGCGTTGGAAGTAGCATTTTACGTGATATTTTACTCTGAGTGAACAGCTTTTATCTCTACCTTACGCCTAGAAACAGTGAACTCTGTTCATTTGCTAGAAGTAGGCAATCGAATGAATAATGATTTCAAACGAATGGAGACTCTGTCGCTACTCGAATTCTTTGTCTTTTTTGATCTGTTAACTGCCAATATGCTCGAATCTATTTCGATTTAGTCATTTTATTATCCACCCAAATCAATGAATAATAAGAGAGTACATATTGTCTTCCCAATGTCCTGTGCATTAGTAGTCAGTATTGCTCAATTTATGTGCATCTATTCAGTCTTTTAGTACTTTTCCCCGGTCTAATAAGATTATCTTCGATTTTCACTTAACATTGATTTTTTCAAGTTACTGTAGTCTTGCCATCACTAACTAGTCAAATAATAGGTCACATCGCTGACACCTTATTTTCCTAATCCTGCAGAATTTCCCAATTCGTGGATACTTTCTTCAACATGTTATTCTTGCCCCAAGTTGAACTGTTAAGTTTTTCACTGAACTGACAATTTTTCATGGTATATTTAAAACATCCATCAAACTCTCTGTTTTGCGTTAAAGTGGTTAACCTTTTCGTTCAACACAATTTTGGGAAATTATTTTTTTCTCCCAATTTGTGATGTAGCTAAAATTTGTAAAACCGATAATTTTAGTGACTAAGTAAAATACCATATTTGCTCTTGGATCTTTTAGATACGAACTAGAGGAAGACGAAGAAGCTCGGACTTTTTGTCAGCGTTTAACGCGTCTCCTTGGTGATCTTATCTATACTGGATCCAAAGAACTTCACATTAAAACTAATGCAATTGTAGAAGTATTCCAACTTCCTGGTTTTAAGTTGAACATACCTCGAGCCAAAGGTATGCCTTTTTCTAATCCTTTTTTCCATTGAAATTATTTTTATTTCAAATGGCAGGCTTTGTGATATTTATCATTAGCCCTTAACCTTTGACTTCAGCTTTCCCCATGGGTGGGGGGTACATATATAGCAGTTAATTAATAGCAGCTCATTAGCTGTCTTCTTGCCTCCCAGTGTCTCTGGGTTTCCGTCGTTGTCTTTAGGGCTGGACACCGAATCAGGGGAATCTTCTCCATTTTCTCCTGTAGGTTACATAGGGGGGATGTGGGTTGAGTGTGTACTCCCAATCTGTGAAGGTGTTTATAGGCAATCGTGTTCGGTACGTAGTCTAAACTCATCAACGGGACGTAGTCTAAACTCAGCAACGGCTCTGTCCGATACGTAGTCTAAACTCAGCAACGGCTTCGATTCTCGCCGCCGGGTATGTCGGAGAGTGCCACTGTCCACTATTTCTCCTCTATGTGGTAGAGTGCCACTCTCCACTGTTTTTCCTTTGTTCGAACTTTAAGTTCGTTGCAATCCATTGAAATTTGTCTCTCATAAACTAATCCTGTAGAGTGATGCTTCTTTTATTCTCTTTCTGATTAATTACACTCCAACACATCGTGTTTCCTCCTTTTTAGGAGAGGCTATACGAAACATTCGAGCGATCGATACTCTTCAGACAACCTTTCTACGGGCTCGATCTGCACGTCTTTGTATAGCACTACTGGAACAGATCCGCGGGATCCATGATCGATCGCCAGGCAATTACTTCCTTTTAGATAAACACCATCTCATCAGCAGCATTGCTGAAGATATTGCTTCTAAGCCAGATGCAGTCCAAGTTTGTTTTTAACTCGACATATCTACTTAAGTCTCATAACAGTAGAAGTGACGTATCATATGCTAATTTTTAGGAAGTATTTTTTGACTTGTTTGCGTCAATGATTGAGAAGCTTCACTATGCACCGCTTCAGGAAATCAGTAGCGTGGCTCTGCTGTTAAGCAAATCTAAGTACGTTTAATATCTTTCAATTCTATCATTCAATTTCGAAATGTGTTGTTTTCAAAATAGATTTTTTTCTAGGTATCCGACGTGTCTTCAGTACGCCTTCTCCTGTTTACTCCGTCTAGTCCTTGCATTTCCAAGAATGGAAGAGGTCTATCGAAATGTCGGCATCTTGGAAGTCACCACACAACATCTGGAAAAGTGCATCGACACACTCTTTCGTATCAAAGATCATAGAAGCAGTAAGTTCTCCACTGAAATTCTCTAAAGCTACCTTTTCCATTACATTTGTTTTATGTCTCTAGCTCGTGCATTGCTTACTTATTTCGTTTCAGGCATCACGGAACCTCTACTTCATAAACCATCGATTTATGAGACTCTTGAGCCATTGACCAACAATATGGAGTCTCCTTTAGTCGATCTCCTCATTACGATTCTTCGATTACTAACTGCTGTTGTCTCTCAATCAGCTCAAGACGCTTTAATTGTGACAAACTGCAAGGGTGTCCACTGTGTTCTTGTCAATCTTTTGCCACAGCCCACTCTTCCCATGCGGGTCACTAGACATGCTCTAGGTTTTCTCTACGAAGTATTCATCGTTTCTCCTCAAGAAGATCAGTTGCTTGGTCTCTTAGACATCCTTCCTTCTGCTGAAATTCCTCTACGAATTGAGGTGATTTTAATGGTTTTAATTTTTAAGATCAGCTTAATTATGTGCGAAGCATTTTACGAGGTCTCTATTTTACAGATTCTTCGTTTCCTTTGCAATGTTCTTCGTGATTCACATCGTTGTCGAACTATTTTCCGCAAGTGTAATGGGTCAATGCGCATAATCCATCAACTTGTCATGCTCAATGGAAGTCTATCGCCTGAAAGCGACGAGGCCATGTCTATTGGGATTCGTGATGTTGAAAAGAAGCGTCAGATTATCTCGCTAATCAAAGGCGTCATTGCTGTTCTCACTGTCGCAATGAAGTTTGAACCCGCCAGTGCAAAACATTTTGTATCTGAAGTAATCATTATATTTTGGTCTTAAAGTCCTAAGTTTATGTAGAACTCTTCGCTGTTCCAGCTTTTTCTGAATGTTGTATTGTTTTTGAGTATTTGATTTACATTTCATTGATTTATGCACGGACTAAATTCTTAAGTTGATTTTCTTAACATACTCTCAAGACTTTAGGTTATTTTGCCTTAATATAATGCCTAATAGACGCATTATTCTACTTCCCTTTTCCTCTGTTCTAGCTTCAATTTGAAAGCCTGGAGCAATCCATTCGTTTGTTGGGTTGCTTTAACAAAGAAACAGTCATCTTTTCGCCACCAAAGGATCATGATTCCATCCAGATTCCACAGTCAGATACATTGGATGACACCACGGTCACTTCTAATAGTGGTGATCATGCAAGTCCACATAATCTTCCCAGTTTGAATCCCGATCTTCTGAAAACATTCAGGAAAGCCTTTCTTCGTTCTTCGTTGATAGAAGAGGTTGCAGACATACATCAATTTGGTGATGTTCCAACGGCTTTTCTGGATATTTGCCTCATTTTCCGATATCTCGTTGCTATGGCTCTGGATGAATTCGATAGATCATCTTTGGACCCCGTACAAGGCAGTCTGGATATCGAAATTAAGGATTCTAGTGATCGTCTTTTCATCTCACCTCCATCAATCGTTCATATTGGCGCCGTTCTTGTAATATTAAGACTTATTCCTGCCTTAATTCACCTACAGGGACATTCATCAACGACTCTAACTCTCCAGGTTAGTTCTTATCAACCGCTCATTAGGATGTTAAATGGTTATAAACTTATCCAAATTATCTCCTGAGGCCATTCGGTGCTTTTTGCACGGATTGAGTGTTTCTTCATATGACATAACTGTTGATAAATTTTACCGAGATTTTTATTGATGGTTTTTCTCTTCTCTGAGTTTTTTGCTACTTTAAATGATATGTTCCCTCCCTCCCCCTTCACCAGATGTATTAGAACAATGGTAATGGATTTTTGATTAGGGAAATAAACTTTAGTTGACAAGGCATGTGTAACGTTGCAGCTAAAACAGTTAAGTGGGCAGCTCCACAGTTTTTCTGAGCACACCAAACTACTTCCCTCTTCATCCCCTCTAACTGCGGTATTCCTCCCTCAAATTCTAACTCATAGCACATACTAAGATGAGATCTGATCAAAATGTGTTCTCTCAGGGTCTCTTTGCCATTGGTTGTCAATATTTCGGCTATTTACCTCAACACCAACAGTCTCCTCTATACTTAAATAGAACCCAATCCTAACTAACTTGTTGTTGTGCCTTGATAATTGTTATAAATTGGCGACACATTCCTGGAAATCCCGGCTAAACTCTAAATTACTCTCCTTCATTCATTTAAATCACGAGCAGCATATGCCGCGATATAGGGAGAACTGTTTTAATCCGTCTAATGACAGGTGGTTTATATTGCTATTCTTTTTAAAATTGAGGTCATCCTATCGGCTTCTCTCATTATTTTGATATAAAACTAGCAGTTTCCATTTTTTACACATCCATACAACGAAGTAAGGTGATATTTAGACTTTCTATTATTTTACCTAAAGTACTTCGGCTTGGAGCTTTTAACTGCGGTGGTGGAATCCGAAAGAAGTCAGCAATTGCTTTGTGGTGTGGGCATTTCAGATCCCGGTGTGGGATCCATGGGAATGCCCCGGGCCCTCCTAACAAATTTTCGGCCCGCAATGGCCTTTGCCTCACATCCTCTCCATCAACCGGCTGCTGACCTCTTTGCCCTTCTTGCCACTCATTCTCTTACTCCTCGCGACTTCCGGTAAGCTTGTACGAAAATGGATTATTGTTATTATTAATGATTAAATCGAGATTCCCTTTGATTGCATCAGTTCTACAAAACTCTAATAGTTTAGACAACTGGGCAACTCGTTTTTGATTTATCAGTTCAACACTGGGAACTTGAATAATTGTTCGAGTTGTTTATGGAATAGTGTAGATCGGTAAGGGCAGCTGGTTTCCTGATTGCTGTCTAGTCCTGTCACGATTCCAGCCACTAAGTGGAGTCATCCGTAATATTAGCGACGTATATACCTGCAGATTACACTGAGACGTTGCAAGCGGGCTAACTTTGAAACTGCCATCCAATAAGGAAACACTTGCCACCATGAACGCTAACGTGGGTGTAGAGTATACCGATGAGGAACTAGGGCTTGATTTGCTCTCAACTACTTGATACGTAGCGACGATTGGTTGCAAAAGAGTTGCTTCTCCTCACTTTTGTACTCTTCAATGTTTTCGCTCCAACTTTCAATCTTGTTTGCTCTTACAGGCGTTTATGCTCCTTTCATTCTCCCCTGGCTTTGTCTTTTTTAATGTTCATAAATAGGCCTTTTTTCAGACCACAATTATTGAACTGTTAAGTATTTGATATCACCAGTTTGTTTACATCTTTTGAATACGTAGACAAATGAATTCGGAGTGTTTGTATATTTTTGAACACTAATTTCTCTTTTTAAGCTGAGAGTATTTAACTGTGCGGGAGGATTGGAAAGGAGGCATTTGAAGGTTTTTTTGTCTCTGTAATTTCATGATTGTCTAATTACTTTCTCATACATCTTCAGCTGATAAAACACACCTTCCTGTTTTTCTGCTAGCTAAATGCGAATTCTATCATGAAAATGTGAACTAACAGAAGTTAACATAAAACCTGTGTTACGTACAGAAGGGCTGGTTTTTTTATTGCTTTATCTCAAAATTTGGGAAAAAAATTAGCAATATTATTGGTCATAAAAGTGGCCGTGTTCTATTTGGTTTGCCTCCTGCTCCTATTGGCTGAGCGGCGCTTATTCGCTTAACTGAAAATTGGATGAGTTGAATTTGGTTCGGACTTTAATTACCCAACTTTTTGTTGGCAATTTTTCTTTCACTCTGGGGTATAATGATAGGGCGAGGAGATAACCTTCTACTGACTGAATTAAGGATTTTATTTTTTTTATAGTAAGAAATATAGGTTTAAATAGCTTCGTTCTTACTATTTGGTGGAATATTTTAGCAATTTTGAACCATAAATAAGGTCGCAATTATCTGCCAACGAATCGTTTTGATATTCGTCAGATGAAAGATTTCGAGGAATATTGATTTTCAATATCTGGGGAAGTAGCAAATGTGCGTATCCTGAGCCGTTCCTCTTTTACATTTCTAGGTCTTTGAGCCTATTATTTTAAAACTAATAAATGAAAGTTGCTGACACTTTGTGGATGGTATGATTCAAATAAATTGAAATTGCATTGCCTATCGCATAGCGTGTTTAAATCGCCAAGATGCCCTAAGAATTTTCAAGGTATACTCTCACTTCAGTTTATTGCACTTGACAAATTAACGGTGGTGACAACGTCGTTACCTTTCTAACTTATGGCTTGCAAAACTTGTGTTTTTTTGCTGCCCAAAACGAGTTTTTTAATCGTTCTAGCTAAGATATATGAAGGAAAACACAAAATAATGCATAAAATCGTTCCCGAAAATTATTATTATTTCAAATGGCAGGCTTTATGATATTTATCATTTGCCCCTTAGCTGACTTCGGCCATCACAAGGGGGGAGGGGGGGGGGAGGAACATAGATATAGGCTTTAAGACAGTTAACAGTTGTTCATTAGTTGTCTTCTGGCTTCCCAGTATCCGTGGGTTTCCGCCGTTGTCTTTAGGGCTGGACACCGAATCAGGTGAGTCTTCTTCTTGTCTTTAGGGCTGGACACCGAATCAGGTGAGTCTTCTTCTTTTCCTCCTGTAGGTCACATAGGGGGAACGTTGGCTGAGCGTATACTCCTATTCTGTAAAGGTGCTTCGCCAGGCAATCATGCTCGGTACATAGTTCAAACGCAGCAACGGCATCGATTCTTGGCCAGTCGGCTTCGTTCTCGTTCTCGAAAATCGAAAGCCAATTCTATTAGAAACTATTCTTTGAGTAAAGTAAATTGCTGAGGTATCTTTAGGGTACAAAGTGATTTGTATCACTACTTTGACTTCTAAGAAATTATCACTTTGAAAAAACGAAATTTTTAATTTCTTTTCTTCTTCTTCTTCTTTCCTTCAGTGAATGCATTATTTAAAGTTTTTTCTTTTCCAACAGTTCATTCAGAACTTTCAGATGGTCCAAGTAATATACTGTCCGGTTTCAGCATCTTTTATGTAGCGACTTGGTTATATGTTAAGAAAGAAGGCTTGCTTTTGAGTCTTCCATGAGAAGTTCTTAAGATCCTCAATAAAAATGAAGTGGATAGGAGGTAGAATTGTTCTGTAACATAATTGTAGTCGTCTGTTTCGCAGTTAGTGAGTTTAACGTATTTGTCTTGAAGAGTTAAGGGGAACATCTTATCGAAATGCTGCCCAATAAGATAATTTTTCTTTTTCAGGGACTTTCTGCGTCTTTCCGGTCAGTTCTGCGAACATCAGCAGACTACCAATGGAACCTGTTGTTGTATTGAAGATGGCGGTTCTTCCACAGCTACTGATTCATCTGGAGAGCCACCTATTCTTCACCTTCCATCACTTCCAGTAATCACAGATCTCTTAGAGCATATTGTGCAGCGTCAGCGTAGTGGAGCCAATCGATACTGTTCTCCAACTTCTGCCACTAATGTAACCTGTCTCCCCGCCTTTGTGGAATTTGATATGTCTGTGGAGGGCTTTGGGTGTCTGTTCCTGCCTTCAATAGCTCCTCAGAGAATTGTTTCTCCTTCTGGAGCCACACAAGTGCTAGGAAATGAGGGCTCAACGATGGGAGCTTCAAGTTCTACATGTGCGGGTGGAGTTGGTATGGGTAAGTTTTTAGCCGACTTTTAGTTGCGTTGGTATGCCAACTCTTTAGAATATAATGATCACTGCTGAAAACTCTTCAATATGCATGGGAAATTCGGGCTTGTCGACACATGGCACTGCCGAGGTCCATGCTGGTCATAGATTGTTTGGTTCAGATTTGTCAGTTATTTTCTTGCTCACAGGTATTAGTCACTAACTCCCAAGCCAATTTGAATATCAATATCAATGTCTCCCATTAATTACGCCTACCCTTCCTATGTCCAGAGGCAACTGTGTCTTCTTATTAATGTACTACCATTAAGTCAATTTTTTTCTTTACTGCTGTCCAAAAAATAATCTTACACAGTTGAAAGCAAACTAAGTTCAAGCTGAATTTGCGTGAAATGGTGACTCACCGAGTCTCGCAGTCTTTCATTTTGATCCCAACTGTAAACATTTACATACGCAGTAGTTTCTCACAATCTGTTATTATTTCGTAGAAGCTTCTCTCAATAATATGGAACTAAGTTGTTGCTTTAATAAACTATTATTTGAATAGGTGAACGAGCCTTTCCCCCTGCAAATGGTATTTCCTACTGCTCTTGGGTATGCGTCGATGACTTTGGAACAGCAAATTCTGCAGATATATCCGATTCGGCTCAACAAGCTCATCCTATACGCCTTCTAACAGTAGTTAAAGGTGTTCAAGGCACAAACGAGCAGTTGATTTATCTCTCAATACAACTAGATCCAATCTCTCGGGCTCTTATTGTCTCCTCAAAGGAACGCATTCTTCCCAGCGGTATTCACCATCATTTAGACTATGTTACTTTTGGTGTTTGTTAATTTAACTTCCTCTTTTACTTTTACCTTCAGAAGGTCCGAAACAACGTCTTAAGACTGGATCCATAGATGGATCGGTGGCGTCCATTGAAGATGCTCATAGCATTGTCTTCCTGACTGGACATAGCAATCCTTGGCCTACAAATGTCTGGAGACATGTGGCTCTGGTGTTCGCTCGGTCAACTATTTCCCGAACCAGCCTCTGCAGTCTCTATCTTGACGGTATTTTTGTTGGCGCACAAAAGGTAATCATTTCAGCTTTCGCCAGATTTGGCTGTGTTGGAATGACTGAAAGTGAGACTGAATTAATTAGTAATTAGTCACCCAAATAAACCTAGTTGTAAGTTATACTTCAATCCGATTAGTGGAGTCTAGTCTCGCATATGGGAAGCAGGAAGTAGAATAGGGTATGTTCTCAAATTACCAAAAGTGGAATAACTGGCTTATTGAATAGCTTGGAGAAATGTTTAGAAACTTTGTCAACACCGTTTCTTCCTCTATTTTCACGACGAAAATAGATCAAATACGTTCGAAGCATCACGAATGAACTATTGTATATCTCATCTCTTAACTTTCTTCCAATAAATCACTTCCTTCACTGTACCATTATAACATGACGATTTAACGCAAGTATCTTCCCTTTTATGTCCAAACGACATTGATGACTCTCACCACTTCCAATTAAATAAATCTTTTTGCTTCATTTTTTCCTTATTTAAGTATAGAATTTAGAAGAATTTTGTTTAAGATGAAACTCACATACCTGATTCTGACGCCTTGCACTTTGTGCAGGTAATAGTCTACTTTTCTAGATTCTGTTTATTTAACCAACTTCAGGTGATATATAGCTGAATTCTAGCTTCATTAAATTCACTTTCTTGTTTGCTAAACTTTGGGTCTTGAGGATAATGAATCTATCATGTTACTTGTAAATTTTAGTCGTGAAATACTTCTGAACGCAACATAAGCAAATTAGTTCAATAGGTATTGAAAAAAGTTAGTGGGTATGTTCTAATTAGTACATTAAGAGATAGTACCAACAGAAACTTGCTTCAGTGAAATTTAGGACATTGTAATGCAACATTTTGGAAGCTGTCTATCACTGCTCCTCTTCATCACTCTGAAGATTGCAACGGGAATTCGTCTGATCTCAATTAGATGGGTGAACTAGGTACATTTGATGGCCAGAGGGAGACGATCATACTCAAATTAGCGTTTCCCAGGTTAGGTTTATCATTCAGTCCAACAACACTGGGGTCCTTTGTAAAGCAAATTGATATTTTTACACTGTTGCTTTTGCTTAATGCCAAGAGCGAGATATTTCATCATCATTCCTAACTCGCATGATTGTCTATCTTCATTTGAACATTGATTTGCAGATAAAATTCATTTCTAAGTTTTTATCCATATTTTTCCACTTTTGCTTTACTAGACGTACAAAAAAAATTTTGAGTCGTTGCAGTAACGTTATTTTTTATTTGTGAGCAAATTGCCGATTTTACTGGATGCTAAAAAGAAAACAAATTAACACATTAAAATTTGCAAATTTTTTAAAATAGACATTTTTTTAATTTGTTCCACATTTGATCCTCTTCTTTCTTAAATTTACGGTAATTTTTATAAAATTTGTGAATGAAACGGAGACTATATCAGTGGATGTATTCTCTCCCACAACGAATTGATAATTCATAAAAGTACAAGATGTTGGGAATTCTCAGATTGCAAAATCTCTGATTGGCCAATTAATCACAATGCCTTAATTGGAAGAACTGGCATACAAGCGATAGGCAACAGTCAATACGAAGTAGTTATGTTAGTGAACATAAACTTGGTAACCGACAGTGCCAATGAATGGAGTTTCTACCTATACCTTTCATACTTAAACAATTATTACCACTAAACGAGATAGCAGAAAGTTTAATCTAATTAGCAAGTGCGGAAGTATTTCTTTCGAAAAGGTGGTGTTGAGGAAGAGAAAAGGCATTTAGACAAATCGCTCAGGTTAGCACTAGTTACGAGAAAAGTAGTCGAGGCAGTAATATCAACATTGGCTTTTATAAATAACACCGCAGATAAAGTCGAGAAAGAACAAGATCACAATGGCTGCCCCACCATACGGGGATTCGTAATTTATCACATTGTTCGCTTTGCACCTGAATCTCTCCGTGCGCTTTTAATTTATGCTTATAAAGTCTCAAGATTTACGGTTCAACCCCTACGTAACTTAGTGATAGTTCATGCTATAAACCTCTTATTGCTAGTTACTCTACTTCAGTAAATATTTCCGCATTGAATGATCGAAGAGAAGGTAGACAGCTTTTGTTGGTGTAGCGGACTGAAATAGCTTACTTTATTGGTTCTTCATTGTTTCCTTGAATATGCAAGCTGTTGCTGGTAAATATATCTTTCTGTATATCGCAGACTCCCGTGTGACCATCAAAGAATGATATTTCTTGTGTTGAGATCGATTCCATGCTATTTCATTTTTGCAGCCCTTGCTTCGGTCATTAACATTGGTGTATTCCATTTTTAATTTTGTTAATGTCATTCCTAAGACACGTAAACACGCAACATTTCCTTTTCCTTATAGATCCACTTTGCTCCCCCTGGTTCGGCGTCAGTGAGTACCTCAGTATGCGCGTTTGTGGGTACCCCACCATGTCAATATCAGCCTTGCAACCTTCGTTGGCGTCAAGGTCCTTTCCAATTGATTGAAGAACCTCTAACAGCTGGACAAGTGGCTCTCATCGCTGCTTTAGGACCAGAATACATAGGCAGTCTTCAAGCTCCTCCCGCACCTCCAAGTACGTTCATTTAAGTTTAGTCATCAAATGAAGACTTTTATACACACGTGGTCTTCATAATCACTATTAAGACAAATTTTCGAAATACGTGATTTTGGTTGAGGAAAAGTATCGCCACGGTACACAATTGACACTTCCCACTGACAGCTAAACCACCGCTCTAACGCAAATGAAGCGCCAGTCCTATCGCGTCCAGAAGTAAGGTGGGAGGGCTGATGAATATATCCGATCAGTAATTAATGAAAGGACACTGGGGAATTTTCGTTTATCATCCTTATGACCAAAGATATAATTAAGTAACCTTCTTGAAAAACTGTATTTTAGCACGTATTGGCCAGAATGACCTTATGCTATTTACCCTCCATGTTTCGACTTCCATAATATGAATCCACTTGACGATCAGATTTCTCTTGCCACAAGTCAGGTTGTTCTTCCCTGCTGTTTGGGCTATATATAAGCAGTTTGAATCTTTCCTTTTACGGGCTTTATTAGTTATGGTTTTGTTCGTTTAGACGGTCAGGACATACTTCAGCCCCTGTTTGCGGAGGAAAAGCTGAGTTTCGCCGCTAATGGAAGTACTCTAGTGACTCTGACGATTACTCGTATTCGACGAGTCTACAATCCAACTGATGCCGGCCTGATCTGCAAAGTTGTAAGGCTACCTTGTTTTACTGGATACAGTGTGATATTGACACTCACAATTTCGTCTAGTTTAGATGAATCTATTATTTTTTTATTTCAAATGACAGGCGTTTTGTAGTTATCATTAGCCCTTTAGCTGACTTCGGACTTCACAGGAAGGAGGAACATCAAAGTGAGGAAAATTCAAGAGGGGGGGGGGACAGAAGAGAGATTCACAGGTGTAAAATAGACAGACAGACACAAAAGGCAACTATGACATACAGTGGGGTGATGGTAGTTAGAAGCCCCATGAGTATATGTTGCCTAGGGTGCACTACGTGGAGGTAAGTCTACCGCACACCCCATGAATCTATTACTGAATCGATATAAGTAAAATGATAATTGGCCATCCACAAAGTATTGTTTGTTACTTAGTAATGGTCTTTCTTTGTGTTTATTAGTAAATTTCAGCTTTGGTTCTTTTTGTGAAAAATCACTACTATTTTTATTTGGGCTAAATGATAGATACACACAGTATCGTATTCTACTATGATTTAGTAGGTACAAGCAGCTCGGTTGATCAGAGCTTCAGTGATATGGTCGAATTTGCAATTGAATGAGTAATTGTGCGAGAAAAACGGAATTCCATTTCTATAATCGGTGTGTGTGTGTGTGTGTGTGTGTGTGTGTGGTAAGCCTGATTGGTTCGTCACTTTAAATTGCACGAAATTTTATGTTTACCAACTAAAGTAGTTTTCAAGTATGTGTCGTTTTATCATCTGACGAAAAGTTGAAAATGTTGGGCACCTGGCAGTCCAACTATTGTTACTCTCTTCTATTGTCTTATCGTCTTCCAATGCAGTCACAAATCCCAGCATCAGTCGCGTTTTAGTGCGTCGTTTTAGTCGTTCAATTCTATTTGTTAATTAGTTCAAGATTGTTGAAAGATGATAAAGGATAGAGGTAGAGACGAAAGAATTTGCAGCTAAGCATATTTTTGCCTGCTTCTTTCATCTAGTTGCATATGCCACTTCGGGAGAATCTCACTCCCATTCGAGTTCTTCGCAATTTGGCCGCACAACTGGGCGGTTCGGCACGGAGTTTGGGAGCAGTGTTGGTGGGCTACCAGGGTGTGCGAGTGTTTGCTCCATGTCCTCTTGGAACTCTCGTTTCAGCAGTTGCCGAACCAACTGGGCTGCTGCTTTCTCTCGTTGCATTAGCCAATACTTCGAAGCAGCTGAAGAAATCCCTTCGGGCGGTTTTTGCAGTTATCGGTGCTAGCCACGCGACGGCTGTGGAAGTTCAACGACTCCACGGCTACCAGGTATGTTTGGAAATCCTCGTTTAAGTGGTTTATTTTACATTGTTATCTTGATCTTTATGCTTTTTTCTCCTGATGCAGTTAATGGCTGGAATTCTGCGTAAGAAGAGCGAATTTCTCGACACGGACGTCGTGGATTTGGTGATCAAATTCACCTTTAATTCGATGTTTCCTGCTTCAGAAATGCTCGAAAATGAGGTAATTTTTTATTAAGATAAAAAGTATTATTCTTTTGAGGAGGTGGGGGGGGGGTGGGTTGCTTTTAAGTTCTTCAGACTCTAGTTAGAGTCTACCTCAAAATACTATACAGATTTTCTAATCCGTTGCTCTTTTATGTTAGTCATTTCCTCTTTGTGAAGCAGGTATTTGATTATCTTTCTCTGTGTCAAAGGGTGTCAATAAAAATGTCGAGCCCTAATTTACCATTTTCTTTTCCATTCTTGACAAATTATCGAATGTGACTTTTCAATCTCTTATTGTTGGCTCTAGCAAAAGGTTCGCGTTCGAATACCTCCCTTCATACATGTCCATTTCACCAACTACTTTTTTGATCACTAGCATCTAGCATTTCGACAGCTACTATGACTTCTGAAAAGTCAAATTTCTTTGTGTCAATTCTGAGAACACGATGTAGAACTGACTAGAAGTGTGGGTGAATTCCAACTAGTCACTCATGCGTTTTGGTTTCAATTTTTACTACAGGTTGTTTGAATTTTTTCACTGTTTGTAACTTTTATCATAAGTAATGTGATAAACAATTTATATTGTCGGGCGGAAAATACGAATCTATGGATTATGTTGCTATTTCCTGCAAAAATGTTCTTTCTATCTGTTATATCTTGGAACAACTTAAGATAAATTCCCACAGGTAGCACATCAAAATACAATTGTGATTAATAGAAACTCTAGAACGCAATCCGAGCTAGGAGCTGACTATTTTCAGTTCAGGATCTGAACGTCATGTTTCTTGTTCTTAAGTTTAAGACCTACGAAGATCGAAGGATCGGAAATTCACATTGTCTTTCTTCCGAACTTGCTTATTTGCTATTTTTATTATGTCTTTCAAGGAGAGTATTTTTTTAATTTCGAAGAACTATCTTTGAAAGACCACCTTATAGCTCAGGATTGCTAACTCTATTGAACAATTTAATGCTTTTTTTTCAGAATCTTCCCACTATCAGACATGAGCAAACTCAGTTCACCTTAAACGAAAATGCTTTTCGCGATTTGATTTGCGATCTTCAATTGTGGCTTCGTAAACCAGCCTACGCTGAAGATCAAACTAAGGATTATGCCTTGGTAGCCCATCTCATCGACCATCTGGTTATGCAGTTTGCTTGGATATGCGAAGAACATTCCTCAACTGAGGTAGCTATTTTTTTTAATAACTGACCCTCAGGGTAACTGGTAGTAGTTCTATTGATTCGCATGAATGCAATATTTAGGTGTCTTTTTTGTTTCTAGTATTGATCCGCGCTATAAGCAAATTTGCAAAAAACCGCAAAACAAGATCAGAATTTTCAGTCATTTTGTTGTCAACTTTCTCTCCACGTACTATCAGGTCTGCTGTTGGCATTTAGAATGAGAACGAAACTGAAGTCCGAAAAAATCTATTTTAATCTACAAGAGACAATCATATTGATTCCCATGAATGAAGAATTGAGTCTTTTGCATCTTCAGGATTACATATTTCGCAAGCTCATTGTCCTTATTAAGTTTTACGCAAAGAGACGAAGATTGCAATTCAAGCACTAGAAATATCTTTATTCCTTATGCACCTCATTGCCAGAGTTGTACTTGCTATACGTTTAGCAATGGAGCACATGTTGTACATATGAACTAAATTATAAGCGGGGATTTAAAATTTTTCCCATTTATTCTTTAAGCGTGTTTGAGTTTTTATTGACACAAAATGCATCATTAGGGCACTACTTACCCCTTGTAAATCAAAATAAACTTATGGAAACGTTTTTAAATATTGATTTTGGTTAGTGCCCTGGTTGTCAGGTTCAAAGTTTTCTACTTCCTTCATCATGCGATCGTGCACCCATGGGGTACGATTTTACAAACCAGCCCTTTACCCCCTTACCCTCCAGTGCACCACGTTTTAAAACTTAAAGTGGTTTCAACTTAGTGCATTATTTTATTAATCCTTCAACCTAAACCAACTCGTTAAGTTCATATACCTCTTATCGTTCCACGTGATTGCCTTCAATCTATCGGTTCACTGTGCACTTGATGAATTGATAATTTGAATTGGTTTAGTTTGGTTTAATTTTCTTGAGGATGACTGAGTAAATAGAGTCATGTCTATCGGTGTCTACGTTTGCCCTTATGTCGTATAGGATATATTGAGCGTTGGGGATTTGACCTCTAATCACCAACCTGTGGTCATTGCTTGCATTTCATTTCACTCTTTTGCACACGCCCTCTTACTTTCTAAAATTAGATGCCTTGATTAATAGGACAATTGCATCCAAGTTTATTCACAATTAACTTTCCCAACGCTAACTTTTCGCAAATTTTCAGTTGGACTATGTTCTCATTTAACCATCACCTACGTTTTTCGCTCTCTTTATCTTTGAAAACGATTTTCCAACTTGTAGGCTTCGAGCTTTTTCAATGCCTATTTCATTTCTATATATTCATTACGTGCAATCTATGCTATCTCACAACAAGTTCTTATAGCATAATATTCATTAAGAGGAACGAATGCATCTCAATTTGCATTTCTTTTCGTTATTTCAGTTTTTTCTTCATTCCAGGCAAAATTAAAGTCGGAAAGGTTGGCGAAGTTAATATCTGGTACTATAATTGACAGCCTCATCTTCTTTCTTCTGGATGCACTGAATGAAACCCAAAGTAGCAACGCAGCTGCCGTGCATTTCCATGAACTGTTGGCAGCTTGTTTGCGCCTCTTTGGCATCGTTCTAATCACAAATCCTGTTTATGGAGTGCTTCAATTGTAAGTCTATATCAAGTTTTTATGAGCTCATCATCTCCTATGGCATTTACCTCCCCTACAAAACATAATTTTTCTTTTAGACTGAGTCAATTTCTTATTTGGACACTACCGAGAGAAAAGGAAGATGGTTCTGGAGAGATTCCTGAAGAAACTGATCCTGCAGTCGCTCAAGGTAAGGGGATCATATTTAATAACGCCATATACCGGGCATACGGTTAATAAAATTAGCACGAAATTTCACAAGTCTATACTTTTTCTTGGACTAAAGACTCAGATAGTCTTTTCTCTGTAAAATAGTGTCGAAGAAAAAATGCATAAAATAAATCTTTATTGGCTTTATTTCAGAAATAGGTAATAGAGTGTAATGTTGGAGGCACTGTTTCAAGTCAGAAAGCGTAGAATACAATACAATTATATCCTGAAAGGGGATTGGAAATTTCGGTGGAAAGAGAAGGATAGAGAGAGGGAGAAAGTGGGAATATGAATGCATTCAACCCACTCAAAAAAACAAATTTGATGTTTTGTTCAGTTCAAAAACGAAAGGTATCAATATCAGTCAAAAATGTATGAGCTCTTCTGGGGGAGTTCCTCTCTACATTAAAGCCATTAGTTAGCATAAGTGATATAAATAAAATGCAGGTGTGAATCACTTAATTAATAACCCTTTTGGCCTTGTTATTAGAGCGCCATCTTCTGATCCACGTCAGGAACCAATTCTTTCTTCTTCTTACTCATTTGCTCTCCCAACCGAAATCGATTTGTGCAAAGTAAGTTCTTCTAAGCCTATTCACACCGAGTTAAATGCTCCTGTTAACAAATATTTTTATTGTTTTCAACTAGTAATATATCTACATCATTTAATTAACTGTTAGGTTTCAAGTATTACATCCTCCTTTTGTCGTATATGTAAAGTTTTAAAAAAAGTTAGGAAACAAAAAATGCTTTTGGGGAACTATTTTCAAAATCAGACATTTGTTTGTCGAGCGTAATTTAAGCTAAGTGCCACTTATTTCGATTACAAAGACATAATTAAGTTCCAAGTAATGCGCCCTACTTTTTTGCCTCAAGACAGATTGTTCTTTATGCAGGCAACCGTTGATTCAACCAGGATTAAATTTTATGCAATTAGTTCTGAACCTTTCTTTGGTTAAATACTGCCATCTTTGATTCTTAGATTCTGCGACCGTCTGGTAATTGTGCTGGGTTTCGACTGGTTCCACCTTTTTCTCGTCCCCCAAGTCCACGATACCACTGCAGCTTACGCTCTTCGCACATTCTGCCTCGTTCTCCTAACCTATTCTGGATCTACTGAAGGCTTTCAAAAGAGGCAAGCTACTGTTCCCTCAACGGCATCCACCCCTACCGCAACAGAGTCCGATTCCAATGAGTTTCCTGGTGTGGCAGCTTTTAGAAACGATCAGCTCACCAACGGATGGATGCGTGCCTCTATCAAGAGAGGTGCAATAGGCGGAGACACCTCAACTCCAGGTGGCCTGCCTTTTGGTGTGTTTCTGTTGCCTGTAATTGGGTAGATGTTTATTTACTTTGTCTTTATTAGTACGACTCCTCTTTTTTACTCTATAGGGGCAGCTCGTTTATCTACATCTTACTCAACAGAGGCTGTCAGGGCACAAATGGATAACAGCGAATCTACAAATCGAGTGAATGGCTTTTTGGCACTTTCGGCTCTCCTGGTGAATAATGCTCGAATGCCGGAAATATATGCTTTGCTGGTTCAACTTCTTTTGGGTATTAGAACGCCGCTTGTACCTCTCTCAATGGTAAGTCTAATAGCGATTAATTCTGCTTTATTAATAACAAAAAATTTGAGAGGGAGTAGTAGTTATTGAATTTGTATTAATTTAATTTGATGTTTATTTCGTTGCCACTTCTTTTGTAATTTTTATGATGAATAAGTCTTCTGATTTTGCGTTCAGACAACATTTGACGATCTCTGCAACTATCTTATTCACATAATGTCAACTGAGAAGGCTTCTTCTGGATTATGCGATCAAACAATACCACCAACTGAATTCTTCCTTCGTAGCACAAATCTAGAATTCAAATACGGTGTAGTGAGTCACCCAACGGAATCAGAAGTACCTTCCGTGGGACCGGAATTCCAGACAATGCACAATTCAAATATGTTCGACGTTGTTGCTTGCCCAGAAGCAGCCACAATTATTATATCCATTCTTTCAGTTCTGATGAGACCGGTAACTCGAGGAGTGGTTCATATTTCCTTTAACTACTGTCTTCCAATTCTTTACTCGTTATATACTTCAATTTGTAGACGTGTACTCCCTTGTCTATGGAAGCTCAACATCTTCCAGTCGTCATGCTCCAGCTTTTCTCCTACCTCTACCAGTCCAACTTCGGCTTTCAAACTGTATGTCTTGCGCCGGAGTTTCTCACTGGTTTAATCGATCTCCTTGTTATTTCTCGTGTATCTCAAGCGAAAGCTGTCGATTCTCCGCAAAGCGACGCTGTCCAGATCTGTGATTTCTCCTCTAACCGACTGGATGAACTGTTACTGAGCTTCCTTAGAACTGTTGTGGCGGATAGCTTCTCACTACCCTCAACGGCCCATCGACCTGTCCATGTCATTGATACCGTCCTTGAGGTTTGTTTTTTTTCGAAGCTATTAACCTTATGTTATTAGGTCTGAAAGAATGGCATTTCTGTTGCTTATTTACCATTATACATTGCTTTAAAATGCTGGGAGTCCTTAATTACAACATTTTTTGCATTTGCGATGCTTTCGGATTGTAACTATCGATTTAATGGATCATAGAATTCAAGTATTGACGCCTCATGTGAAGTATTTATTGTCTATAAATAATCAATTTACATTTTTTCGCAAATACTTAACTAATATTAGTGTTAAAGGAAATCATTTCACTCTCATAGCTATATTAGTATATCGTTGATTGGGTTACATTGAAATCACTAGATAGTTTAGCAATGACACTTTGTCAATGTCTGTCAGACAAATAAAGAACAATAATAGCATTTTCAAGAATTGATGGTAGTTTTGGTCTTGATTTACTCTCATTTTTGGCACCGTAATCAACAGATAACTTTATAGAACTAGAGATCTTGAAAACGATTTTCTTTATTATGCCTCCAGCATAGTGGTAGCATTCCACTCTGCAGGAAGTGGTAGAATGCAGGTTTCTCTTAAGTTGATATGCCCAGAATGCCTTATCTCTAGCAATTCAAATTTCTGTTTGTTCATCTCTAACGGTTTTTTTGGATGTAGCAAACTTTGCACGCACCCTTAAAATATTTTTTTTTGTGTCAACTGCAACTTATCGAATTAACCAACTTTGTCTTTTAATCTTCGACTGACTTTACTGGTAACTGGCATGCTATTAGTTCGCCAACTTTCACTAAAATTTAACCATTTTTAGTTTAAGTAAACTAAAATAGTTAAAATTTTGCAACTTTCAGCCATTTTTAATATCTCTTTTGTAGGCTGAACACAGCAGTTGTTCCTCGAAACAGCAACATGAAATTCAAACAATATTGATGCGTAATTTAATGGAGTATCTGCTGGCAAAGGATCTACTTACAGATTACTGTATTCTCCTTCCACCAAGAGGTTATTCTCAACATATTCCTCAAAACGTCGCCTACTTCGCCTGTCGCTTAGTTGATAAACTGTGGCAGGTATGTTTTTCTTGAATTTCCGAACCGATTGTACCACATCTTGTACTGTTTTGTGCAATTTTATTTTTTGATAGGGGTGTTTTCTGGGATCTATTACCGAGATCATCGAATTCATAATTCAACTTATTCAAATGATTGAACAGCATATGGTCTATTCGCTTAAGTCCACGGCGTCACCTCGGCAGTACCCTTTCATTTATTCCTCCACTCCACCTCCTCAATCAACCTCCGTAGATTTAAGTTTTTCCATTTCTCGAGCTTCTCTTTACCGTAGCCTCAATCGTTGTGTTCTCTTCCAACTCTCTCGTCCTGTTCTTAAACAACGCGATCAGAAAATGGTCATCTCCATACTACAGTTGCTTCTGTCTGAAGAAGGACCTCTCAATTCTCTCATCTTTTCCACCTTCAACTCGGCAGACACCGAATTTCCCATCTGTTTGGCTCACCTTCTCATTCAACACGTGCAAAGAAATACTCAGGGATTTCTGATTAAGCAAGATCAGTCAGGCCAAAAAGAGAAGATGCCTGAAGGGAGAGCGGATTCGGCTGGACTTTATCGAACCGCCTTTGATACCGAGGATTTTGAAACCGATGATGAAGAGAGAGCCCTTTCGAATGAACCGTCGTCTAGTAAAAAGGCGGAGGAACAAGATCTTCCAGCTCAAGTGGAAGAGTTTGAACTATTGGCCAAGCTGGCCTTGAAACTGTGGGAGCATTGCTATATGTGGAATCAGAAGGTATGTCCTTGGTAGACTGAAATCTAATATTGTAGAAGGAGGCTTGTCAAATATTGGTCTATTTCTTGGAAATGTTAATTGAAGTGTATTGAAGGCATTTAAAGACACTTTTTGCCGTTTTACTTTCTTTGCACGGTTATGCTATGAAGAGATGGTCTTCTAGTATAGTTCTACGAGTAATGGTGACCATCGTTATTTCCTGCATTGGTATTAATAATTTATGAGTTTACGAAACCCGCAGAAAATTTTAATACTTTCATTAATGGTTGAATACTTTTAATTCCAATCCAGGTAAATGAGTAAATTACGTGGAAGGCTATTTCGACTACAATTTGGGTGTTAAATAAGAAAGTCGAATCTAGAGGGCAGTGCCTTTTCAATAATTTTTTATAATGTTCCTCAAAAAGCCTAGCTGAAAAGGTCACTCATAAGGAGCTTAAATTTTGACAACCCTCTTTCATTTGTTATGACTTGAACTTTTGACCGTTCCGCCCATGGGTGTGCGTAAATAGAGTACACGAAGCAGTCTCGACAAGAGGTGGTTTAAACGAGGAGAGTTAATTGTTTTATGAAACCTGAGCCACCCCACCGAGACGCTCACTATGTTGTCATATCTTTCTCTGAGTTATTATGTAGTATTCGGTTAAATAAAAAAGAGATTGCATTACGAGTGTGGACCAAGCTGAAGGCTTTTCCTTAGAGGTCTATCGTTACTCCACTTTCAGCAGCCACAAAAGATTGATGGACGTTTGCTTCTGTTTAACCACTTCTATGCATTACGTATTCCATGCAACTATCAAAAGGGGAGCGAACCAGTTAAGGGTGTACCTTTTTTATTCCGCTCAAACCGAGCTGATAATTTTTCCTTCTACAGGTATTCGTTGCTTTATTACCGGATTCAACACTTTCACAATTGGCTGGAATACCATCTTTGACGGAATGGTCAGAGGCATTAGAAGGACCCTGCATTATGAAATGGACAACCTATGTAGATGCTGAAGCCACTGGTTGCGGTGGAATTGTATCCCATAGTACAAATTTAAATTCATCGAATTTGTCTACTCAATGGGGTCTTCTCTCAATGTATGGACCATCTACAATTGAACGTCAGTTAGAATCGACGACAAATCGTGTAACGGCCATTAGTGAGCAAGCTTCTAGTAATCAAAGTCGTACATCAGGTCGTTTGTTTTCACATCAGATTTCCAGAAAGCTTACGCGAATGAGTGCCTCTGTCCTCCGAATGGCTTCGAATGCCACAAATCCCAGTTCATCTACGACGTCTGATATCAGTTCTATGAAGACTGTTGAAAACAAAAAGCCAGGTCGTCAGTTTAGTATTGTCTATCCTGCTGATGTCGCAAGAGGAAGAAATAATAGTGATAACAGTAGTGTTGATGGAGATTGGGTAGTTGTACCTCGTATTCCTATCGGCCTGCCATTGCTAACAAAGAAGTCAACTGCCTTGTCGACACTACGAAGAATAAGCATGCAAGTGAAAAGTCCGCTGACTCTAGTTATTGAGGCTCTTGAATGGAGTAAGCAGTCCCAAGAAAGAGATATCTCATTCTTGTGGCGTCAAGTAGAAATCGAATGGAACAAGATGGAAGAGCATTTGACTCAGGAAAGATCAATTTGGGGCCCAATGTGTGCTGATGATGAACAAGTGAAATGGGAGTTGGATCCGACTGAGGGGCCGTGTCGAATGCGTAAAAGAATGCTCCCAAATCAGAGCTTCTATCGACATTATCCAACCATAAACAAAACGGTTCAGTCAGCAACTGAAATGAATGAGGTAGTTGAGGTTGAAATTCTTATGAAGATTTATAGTCTTTAGGTGATTTTTAAATTTTTTTTCTCGCATATGTCCAGGCTTCTCCCATTGTGACGAAACGGGGATATATTGCTCCACAGAGCATAGGAGCACCCTTCCGTTATCGTAGGCGACGTATTCTTCGTGGACTTGAGCCCACAAAGAAATCTGAATCGGAAAGTGAGGTTCCACCTGCAGACGTTGCAGATAATTCGGTTGAAGCGGCTGAAAATCTAACTATTGAGGATATTATTGCATCAGGTGCGTTTCAGCCCATTTCCCCTAAAACTAATCTTAAGGGTTTAAAAATTGCCTTTTGTCAATTCGTGAACTCTAATTTAACTTATTATTACGTTATCCATATTGTGGAGGTTTTATTTCAAGGCAAATTTGCCGTTGCATGTTGATAGGAACATTTTGAAAGTATAGGGTAAAGGCAGGTTACCGAGTTCCAATTAGCGTGATTCTTTTATTCAAACTGGGATATCCCCCTTTAATGTCGGATTACCTTACAAAGCTAGCAGGGTAGAACAATCCTGCCTAAATTTCCCGGTTCTAGACTAGGTAAGTGAAAGTAGGCTTATTTACTATTTGCAAAGCTGTCTGGTTTCGCCGCCTTTGCGAGTCACTTTGAAGCTGAAAGTCCTATGAATCAGGATTCAGTTTGCACACTTTTCACTTCATAATCTAGCTTTCCCAATTTTGATTACGTGAACTTGTAGTATATTTCTTGGGAAAATTTATATCCAAAATATTGTACTCTCATTTGCCACTTGGTAAATGCGATTAGTCGATCACGCCATGCCAATCAATTTTTACTTTGTTTTCGCATATACATTCAGATTTATTCCAGTCATTTTCGACCATCCAACATCTCCATTGGGAAATTGATTTGGTGGTGAGGATGGTCTTCTTGTTGTGTTGTTTAAATTAAAAAAACGCTTTTCTGCCATTTCAGTAACCAACTTTAAACCCTGTAATTTCTTTTATTCTGATCTTATACTGAAGGGTTGGATGTAGTCTCCTCATTTAGAATTTAAATTTTTTGTACTCCCTACATCTTACAATACAGATTTTTAGTGTCTTCCAAATTTCAAAAGGAAGTGTGTTTTTGAGCTACTTATCTATTCGAAATTTACTACGTTTCTTTTTCTGTCACGTAAATAGTTCATGTTGCCTGTTGAATCGCATCTAGTGCTATTCTTTTTCAGATACTCTTATCCGCACCAGCCGTCTTCTACGTAACAGCGAGACAACTAACGCCTCTCGAGGCGTTTCATTCGCAGATACCCAAGAGATGCCGGAGGGCGCTGAAGATGAATTTAGTGGTAATGAACAAGGGTCAGGTGGGTCAACAGAATCACTTGATATGGTATTTGAAGAACAGATATCTCCGCCACCTCAGACTCCTCCAGCAAATATTTCCTCCACGGAAAAACCTTCCAACAAGTCTTCACCACCTTCCAAACCATCAGAAGGCAGCTTCACAGCATTAGATCAATTAACTGGTCATATCGCATTTATGAGACTGTTAGAGCCGGGAGAGAGTCTATCCTCAATCTATCGTTGTGCAAGGATCTGTGGATTGGACGTTCATGAAGGTCTTTTACTATTTGGGAAAGATCATTTCTACGTGATTGACGGTTTCACCTTGATGAATACTCATGAAATTGTCAGTATTGAGGCTCTTCCGAGGGGAATGAAGCATAAGCCCATCGTTCCAACGAGTTCTGATTCAAGTTCAAATGTAATGGTCGCCTCGTCTCAAAATAGCAGGTCCTCATCGACCTATGCTTCGGACTTAGTCAGTTCAGGAGCAGTTGATCAGATTTCAGGAAATCAGTGAGTTAAAAGAAGTTTATTTTGTATCTTCTCTAGACAATTACTCTAACTAGTACACATTCCAACCCCAGGTACTTTAAATTTGCTTACGAAAAGATTCGTGAAGTTCATCGTCGTAGGTATTTACTTCAGCAAACTGCTCTTGAGATCTTCAACGCTGATGGACGCAACTTCTTCCTGGTCTTCGCGAAAGACTTCCAAAACAAGGTCTACGAATGGTGCGCTCCAAAATCTGTATCTTAATATCTGTAATAATTTGTACCTTAATATTCTCCATTGCAGTTTCACGTCATCTTCGTCAATTATCAATTCTAATCGGCTCACCGCTCTCTATTCAGCAAGAGCGTCAGTTTTTTATATAATTAGCAAATGCATTTTCTATTATTAAGTAATTAATTCCTTTTAATTTTAGAAATTCACATCTTTTAAGTAGTCTTCTCGGTGAAAAGACGGTTACTCAACGCTGGGTGGTAAATGGACTTTTCTCTCATTACATCAAAACTTGTATTGCATTATCTAACTGGCAATTTTTCCTTTCAGCGAGGCGACATTAGTAACTTCCAGTACTTAATGTATCTCAATACCCAAGCTGGTCGGTCCTACAATGATCTCATGCAATATCCAATTTTCCCATGGGTTCTGGCTGACTATACATCCCTCCACCTTGACCTTTCTCGACCTTCAACATTTCGTGACCTTACAAAACCCATGGGCGCGCAAACACCAACTCGCCTGGCACAATTCCAGCGTAGATTCAAAGATTGGGAAGATCCTTCAGGAGAAACGCCACCATATCACTATGGAACTCATTACTCCTCTGCTATGATTGTTGCTTCGTATCTTGTTAGAATGGAGCCATTTGCACAACATTTTATCAAACTCCAGGTGAGCTTATGGATGCTAGTATATCCCCTAGAAATCTTGACAATCAATAATCCCTAATTTTTTCTTTGCAGGGTGGTCATTTCGACCTTCCAGACCGAATGTTCCATAGTGTGGAGGAAGCATGGCTGAGTGCGAGTCAGCACAACATGGCCGATGTTCGTGAACTAATTCCAGAGTTTTTCTATCTTCCGGACTTCCTTGTCAATTCAAATCATTTTGACTTTGGGTGCAAACAGAATGGTGTTCGTGTTGATAGTGTCATTCTTCCACCATGGGCTAAAGGTGATCCTCGCGAGTTTATCAAACAACATCGTGAGGTAAGTATCCTTTTGATTGCTATCGCTTGTGCTGAGTATTTGCCTTTTCGAAATGCGAATGTAAAAGACAATAAAGTTACAGCATTAATTCTCTGGCCTTTCGAAGTGGTTTGTTTACACCGAGGAAAAGCGAGCTTTAAGGACTAAATACCTATTGAAGGGGATTGTGCCAATAGCATAATACCGAAGGAAGTAAAGTGAATCTAAGCTTTTGTCTGAAATGTTTTGTGCAAAATTTGTCAAGACTCGTGCCTGATTGTCGCCAACAGCTTCTGTCTCTTCATTTTTTTATTTTAAATTATTGGACCATTTGTAATAAAGTTCCGTTTGCTCACACTTGCTTATCTCTTTAACTCCGGTTTCTATATCAATCTCCTTATTTGCAGGACTCTCGTTTTAGTTGCTTATCGGTTTTCTATCTGCATGTGACTTTCCTCTGTTACTAAGCCGCATTTTCGGTGTTCTAGTTGCACTTTTTCGCTAGACTTAAAAGTGGATTATTGGTACTCCAATATATAATCGTCTTTAATAGCAAAAAAATTGTTAGTTGCTTCTAACCGAGATGCTTCAACTTTATTTTCCAAATAACTATTATGATATTCTACTCTGCAAAATGGTCGTTCTCAATGCTTAGGCTGATTCCCCTTATTTATCATCTGCGATTAATTTTATTTTCTTTCAAATCTTTTACGATCGTAGGCTCTAGAAAGTGAGTTCGTTTCCGCCAATCTTCATCATTGGATCGACCTGATCTTCGGCTGCAAACAACGTGGAGAACCTGCTGTTCAAGCAGCAAACGTATTCCATCATCTCTTCTATGAAGGCAATGTAGACATCTACGCCATCGATGATCCTGTCAAACGTCGAGCTGTGATTGGTTTTATCAACAACTTTGGTCAAATTCCTCGTCAGATTTTCCGGAAACCTCACCCCGCTAAGAAAATTGTCGCCTATCAACCTGGAACTCACTTTAATCATAATATTGTCATTGCCGCACCACCTGGTTCTTCATTTCAACCGGATTCAAGGACTAATATATCACCTGCTTCTTCGGGACTCTTCTTTCATAACTTGAGATGCTTGAAACTCAATGTTGGAGCTGTCAAAGGTACATTAAACTGGTTTGCTACTCCAAATTGAGTTTGCTATGAAGACATTTTTCCAACCTAAGCCATCGTTTTCCAATTCCATGTGGAGATATCAGCATGCTAGTCCAGCATATCGATCATTATTCAAGTAGACGTTTCTATATTCTAAGCCCCAACTGAGGTATTCCTTTGTTTACATCTATCCAATTCAGAAGAAAGAAAGAAAAAGGCCTTTGGCTCAATGTGAAGTTTGTTATAAGTTTTGATGCGTTGGAAGCAATTTGCTTTTGTCGCCTTAGTCAACGGTGGGGAAAATGGCACTGAATTTCCTTCAGACTTATTGAAAATGTTGAATGGTTTTTTGAATGTGTCTTTAGTGTACTCATAGTTGTGATATCCAAGCTTTAAACACCCATTAGATGAATCTTTTATGATTGACTTCTTTTTGTTTTGAAATGAGCTTTATTTGCCTAAATATTTATAGTTGACGCAATATGCTAGAATTTGATTTAGATTAAATGGGTTCTAAATACGTTCCATTAATAAAATTCTGTCGAAAACGCATGAGAATCACATGTATTTTAGCATCTCAACTTCATCGTCAAACTCGTTTCAAATACGCATTCAACTTTGATGAAATTATCCATATCAGCGCTCATAAATTACTTGACTTACATTGTCGTCACATAATCAGTGAAGTGCTTTGATTTATTGAAATCATTGTGATTTTGCAGGTCTAAACTCTTCTGATTCGCCTTTGGTGATTTTTCCTACATCTCATTGGTCTTACTCGATGTCTTCTCATATACGCGCTTAAGTGGGAAGGAAACAGCTTGGTCTCCTTTGTGTAGGAGTAGTCTTGAGGTTTTAGTTTTCTATTAAGCAATTCAGCTAAGTTTATGGGTTTTTAGATAGATGAGTGGTCCAGGCTAAGGTATTTAACTTTCCTGGCTATTCTCCAGGCCTTCTATCTTCCACCAGTCCTTACCCCTCCACCAGGATAGAGACCATTGCTGGGCGAGTGTATCAGGGAGATAGTGAGAGATTTAGTGAAAGTGATGTTTACTCGTTGTTTGTATGGGAAAAAAAGCGCTTTCAAATAATAACATTGTGCCTTGGATGCAACCCTAGCGAAGACACTTACGTAATGTTGGTCAAAATGCTCTTTTGACGAGTTTGAGCGAATAGTCCAAATAGTGACCATTGCCCAATGACTAGGAAACTACTACACACTTTTTGAAGATTGGCCTATCAGCAAAAGTGTTTAGTTTCCCACTAGCTATTCTTTAAACCCTTCCTTCTACCTATCGTTGTTGAAATCTGGAATCAGGGTTTATTGGTCGTGAAAGTTACCGTAACGATGCTAATCCCCAAATGAAGTGGGAATTCATAATGGAGGCATTTATATGGTTCATCCAGAACTTGGTGTGGTGGCCACAGCTGTTTGTGTTCCTCAGCTTGTGATCGAAACGGCAGAGTCTGTGGCCATATGTAAACGAGTGCATCGACAAGAAAATTAAATTATGAAATCGTTCTATTTGATTGAAACAGTTTTAGTATGATTTCAAATTTAGAAACCGATGTGGATAGGTGAATGCTAAACTCTAACTCCTCTTCGATATTCGTTCTCTGGTTTTTTTATTAACCTTATGAAACTTTCAAATTTTTGGTTTGCTTGTTTAAGAGCTTCGACATGCCGTAGGCCAGATTCTTCAACTCGAACCAGGCAATCTGAAGGGATTTTCAATCTCAAATAGTGGCAGTAGCTCTGGAATCGGAAGCTCTATTAGTACTCCAAACCTTGGATGCACACCCCAAACGTCTTCTGGGGGTCTCTCAACTCTTATTCTCCCCGCTGGAGGTCTTTTCGGAGTCGGTGGAGGTAGTTGTGAATCCGGAGATTCCTCAGGCTCGAATAATGTGGCCTCTGGTCCTATTGTCGTTGTTGAACAAAATATGGTAAGTGTCAGGACGAAATGGTCTCACTGTTAACCACTATCATTCTGAGATTCATAAGTTTTATCTCATGCTTTTCAAGGTTCTGTTACCGCCCAACTTTATACGGTATTTGGCTTGGGGATATCCCGATGACAGTTTCCGAATATGTAGTCTCATTGGTGATAAGGTGCTTCAAGTCTTTGAAATGGTTAATTCGAGCCAAGTATTATGTGCTGCTGCTCCTAACTCTTCAACAATCGTCACAGCTGGAATGACAGGCGTTGTCAAAGTTTGGCAGGTAAGAAGGAAACTAGCAACTGTATTATTTCCATATCGTTAGCCATATATTTTGATAAAAGTATAGACGAATAATAGAAACGAAAGTTTAGATTGGATAAGCCGCCATACGGTTTTGACATCTACCCTTTTGTACATCCTAGTTACGAAAGCCTAGCGATGGCCAGGGTAAACCTTTCTACCCCTCTGAGTGGAATAATCCATCTAATGATAATCATTCCTCTAATGTCGTATTTGGGACCACTCCAAGCGCCCTGCAACTCTCTGGATGTCTCTATGGCCATACAGACGTGGTGACATGTCTGGCCGCTTCAGACAGCTTCAACCTCATTGTCAGTGGTGGTCGAGATTGCACTTGCATTGTCTGGGATTTGAGATACCTTATTTTCCTTCGCCAACTCGGAAACGGCTACAAAGCACCAGTTGCTGCTGTGTGTATCAGTGAAGCGACGGGTGACATTGCTGTTTGTGCTGGAGCTTGGCTCTATCTCTGGAGCATCAGTGGGGAACTTATCGCCTGCTTGAATACTGCTCCCGACCAGAGCAATCAAATCTATTGCGTTGCTATGAGCACAGTAAGTGATTATAACTACTATGAGTTTTTTATTTCGGTAAAGGCATTTATATTCGTCGGTGTATTATTTAAACATCAGATGAGAGAGTGTACTAATGTGTAATTAACATTTAGACATAACGCTTAAAAGAAAATTTCTTCGTTTCATCGTCTTGAGTCAAATTTCCCTGCTTTTTTTGTTGCTTTCACAACTTTTATCTAATTATACGCCAATAGATTATTAATAAATATGTTGACAATGAGTGGAATGGTAAACTGTTCATTATTTGCAAATATATTAATGCCAATTAATAGGCTCTAAGGTGATATATCCAGTTCAATGGGGGGGGGGGGGATTCATACCTCTATTGGGAGTTTCTCTATCTGTCAAGATCAATGTCAACCATTGAGATTAGTATATTTGGCAGAGTGAAAGGATAGGCAGATGCGAATTTCGTTCTGTAGATCGTTATCGATTAAACGAGCTAGAATCTTATTATATCTATCTTTGAGCAATCTGGCTCATAATTTCCTCGAACGACCTTGAAATAGTGAAGATCCCGAACACGTGATAGTTTTAAAATTGAAACCAAATCTCTATTTATGACAGAAAAAAGAGATTGATACTAATGGGACCAAAATGTACATCAATTAATCTAGAAATCGTGATACTGATGCCAATCGCTGTACGCCCGGTGACGTGGATTGTCAACCGCACTATTTGACAAAAGTTTCTCATCTGAGTAGCTTTAGGACGCCTTTCCTCAATCTAACTTATGTACTAATAGAACTTTTTCAAGTAGCCTTGGGAAGTACTTAAATGATCAGTACGCTAGTTTGAGCTATCTGACCTTTCAACTCTGGTGAATGGGCAGCTTGTAAAAAAACGACTTGTGAACTGAGTAAATTTTTTTAAAGCTTAAATACTAATTAAGGTCTCATTAAACCTATTTTTCATGTAGCTTCGAGATTGGGACCCAGGTCATGTAATAGTAACCGGAGGTTCCGATGGATTTGTCCGGATGTGGGGATTAGACTACGTCTGGGAGGAATTACCTGACAGTACTACTTCTAAGGTAACCTACATTTCCCTTGCTCCATCCTCCCATCAAAATTTTGGTTATTTCATCTTATCATCTTTCCAATAGACTTCTTCGTTGTCATCTCCGATGGAAGCTTTCGGTAAGTTATTATTTGTATTCTGTATTTTCAACAAGTCTAATCTAACTGAAGGTGGTCAATCTCAAAGGTTTGAAGAGTTAAGATATGACTCAAACGACATTTGGGAATTAGCCAATGGGCTTTTCGCATATATTTAAAGAAGTAGGAAATGGTGAGCTATTTGATTAATCGGCATTTACAATAGTATTGTGGTTGCACATTCAGGTGCAAGTGGAAGGCAACAATAAGCTAGCACATGCTGGAATATGAATATGAATAATGTTTTGAAAATATCTCATATTTCCTCAAAACCTAAAAATGAGCTTGTGAGTTTGTTTGTTTGTTAACTAAATTCATTTGCTAATTAAATGTGGCCATGTAACGTGAGTGCAATGAAAGGGCTCATTTCCTTACGACTGAGATTTTGGGTGTTTTCACGGCAAATAAAGGATATATTGAGGAAGGCGAGCTTTCATCACCTGGAAACGGGGTAGAAGCCTGATGAAATCCGGAAAGGATTTAAATAAAGCAGATTTTGAAGACGCTTCTACTAAATTCAAAATTTGAACTGCATTTCATTACTATTTTATCCCATGGAGTTGCTTAAAAGCTATTTAAACTTTCGTCGTGAGGAAACGTTCAAACAAATGTGGTGGAGCTCAATTAAGAAGGGGCATGTTTACAGTTTACTAGTGAATTGTGGACTGTATTGTCGAAATGTGGGATTCAGGTAATCAGGGGAACCCTACTTTGTCCGAGCTGTAAATAGATAAGGCCTGTCGATAAAGGTGATCCTAATCATTGACACCATAAATATTAACACTACCAGGTTCTAGAAATCTACTTGGTTGGAATCTTTGGAGACAATTTGGGAGAAGCATTCTTGTGTACGAAGGTAAAAATTTTTCTATTCAGTTTTATCAAAAGAAGTTCAAACTTTGTGCTTCGTTATACTGTAGATCAACCAGCTGAGAAGAAGTGGCGTCGTCAACTTATTCTTCGGGCTGAATTGACTGTTCACACAGCCTTTGATCGAACGGAGACATCTCCAGTGCCTCTAATGGCACTTGGAATATCCCGTGATCATCGCTCAGTACTTGTCGGGGATGCCAAGGGTCGAGTATTCGCCTGGTCAGTCCCAGCAAATAGTGAAGATCGAGGCAATGTTGGCGTAGCGGGTTCGGAACTGAGCTACGCCAGTGGCGGTGCTGGTGTGGGTTTCAGTGTCGAAGAATCGGTGACTGTGTGCGCTGCGCCTGCTTGTCAAACTCGGTTCTCTCTCACTGAGAGAAAACATCAGTGTCGTAATTGTGGAAAGATATTCTGTTCGAGGTAGATTGCCCTAGTTTCTCATGCTGTTTAGTCCTTGTTTGTTTGATTTTGTCATATTTACTGAGCAGGCTGGACTTCAATACTCTTTTCCGAGTCTTGTACCAAAATATTGAGTACTAATGGTTCGGAAATTACCTTTCAGATGTTTTTCTAGTGTTTATCAGGGACTTCTATACACGTCCCATCACGTATTGTCCATATTGTGTATAGTTTTGGTATTTTATTTATTATTTTTGTGAGAATTCTAGGTTTGTGGAATCAGAAATCGGTTATCACGTTTAAGGGACTTTGTATAGAGCCTCGTTTTAATTGTTCTTTTCTGGAATGGGCCAAATTATTCAATATTATTTTGATAAACCGTTGCTATAAATCCTGTCTTTAGTCTTTATTTACTATAAACTTTGCTACAAACCAACTTATGTAAGATTCATTACAGTGGTAAGTTTTTTCAAACGAAAGCCATTTGCAAGCATTTGACTAAAATCATTGCAACTCAGATCAAGTAGTATTTTCAATTAGAAAAGATTAAGAACGTTGTTTTTCTAGTTTACTAGGCTTCTAAAATTCGCTCCATCAAGGTAAGAATGGTTAAAAGACGTCACCGTTTGCAATCGATAACCGACGGGTTCTGTACCTTGTGGGGTTTGGGGTGGAGGTAAGTGTTAAGGGTGTACAAACAACCAAGTGACAGCTATTGTTAAATTTAGCCTTTTCAATTGTTCTCCCCAAAGTTCATTGGGGGAAATGTTTATATGTTTATATTATATGACACTTGAATTAGTTAGAGAGAAGACCTCTCGGAGTCGTTCAGATGATGCTCGCATTCTACAACCTTCCCATTGATCAGTAGAGTTGGCCACCCATATTACTTGGTGTGTCCTGTTAAGCATTGTTCTCGTGACCGCTGACCTGATGGACTTCTACGTTAAACATCTTGTAATTGGCACACATGTGGTTGAATGTTTTTTTGTTGACCATTTTCAATTGCTTTTACAGATGCAGTCGTTTCGAGAGTGAAATTCATCCACTCCGCATATTCCGCCCAGTTCGTGTCTGTACCGATTGTTACGCTCTACTTCGAGAACAACAAATTCCTACCGGTCCATAAAGAAAACGTTTTTCCCTGTACATTTCAATCTCACATCTGTATATTTCAACTTCCCTTCTATGATTATGCGTATCACATTCTACTTAAATTCACTTAAGTAGAGTCGTGTTTGCTGTGAACTCCTGAGTAAATTTACTTTTGATCTGTGATGCTGTCATTAATACATCCCATTTATTTATCCTTTCATTATTTTTTTCTTCATTTTATTTTCTTTCTGAATCTTAAGCTGAATTCAAGTGATCATCTACTCGATTGTGTTCTCTCATTATATGTGAAATTAAAATTTTTTAAATAGAGTAAAATGTAAAAACGGCATTATACTTTGTTGATCATATTTATTATTTCGATTAAAACGTGAAATTTATGGGGAATGTTGTTTAAAATTGTGAATAATCAATTCGGGCTAATTTTGGACAAATCGTTGAGAGGAATAAGTGTCATGTTTCCCACTTCCTGGTTCAATAATTTCGGTGACCAGAAGAAAGCCTTTGAAATAACCTGTTAATACAAAACGAATTTTTAAATCTCGGAGAAAAATCATATGCTAAGTAAGCATTGGATATGCAAATATATGTTATGTGTAATTTACTATTATAATTCGAACCAAAACAATATTTCGTTTTACATTCTGGCTCTTACTAAAGTACCAAATAGTTGGTTTCTGTATTGTCAAGCTAATCATAAGTGCTATTTGAATGCTAATTTTTTGAGAATTTATCAATATAACCATTTGCATGGCGATCTGCGTAAAAGTTTTTCAAACAGCGCTCTTGGGCTTGAAACTCTTCTGTCCCTACCACTGTTGGGGTCAGCTCAAGTGACTCTGGGCTTTAGCCCACGTTGAGTGCTGACAAGTATAATTTCACTCCAATCTTAATGCGCGCATAATCGTTCATGGCTCACAGACTCATTGAATGTAGCGCTTTTGGGAAGCAAAAATCAGTTCCAAGAAGACTAACTGGTGAGTTGTTCGTAATCCCTGCGCCTCAGAGAAGCGCACACAAATTTCGCTTCAGAAGGCATAAATAACTTGAGTGATAAGCTTTCTACTTACCTCGCGATTTGTGGCGGCCAATCTGCAGATAGGTTGAAGGAAGTTCCAAATTCTATCCTCCGAGACCTTTAGTAATGAGAAATTGTAATGAATATACCACTTTTTACCAAGAATAAGTCTTGAATGATAACTGCATGTACCAAGTGTTCTCATAATCTTTACTCTAAGTTTTCACTTAATTTGGCTTTTGATTTCTTCAACAGGGTTCACAAGGATTAATGGTTCTATTACTGGATATACTCAAAGTACCTTACAAGTAAACGTGAAGCTTGTTTAAATTTCTAAATTGAAGTCCATTTTCAAAAGGTACCAATTAAAATCCAAGAGCCAATTCAAAGTCCCATAACTTAAACCCACATTGTGATGGGATATTCCACGGAGGGTAATTTTACTAGAAAATAAACAAAATCCGAACGAATTGAGTGAATGACAGACTAATTTTCACCCGCCTTTTCCTCACTTAGACCATCGTTCTTTTCTTATCTCATCAAGTTATGAAGTAGACGTGTGTGTGTTTTAGGTATCAATTGTGTCTGGTTTGGCATTCATTACTAACCCCACTTTTGCTCTAACTTTGGTAACAATTTCTGCACCCTTGGATCGCACGAAAGTTCAGCCTATATTCAAGCAAGTGTGAAAGTAAATTTAGTCACATAAGGCACAATTGCTTCTTCTTCGTCTCGTTTGCCTCTACAATTTGTTTGATGTCGAAAACGTTGTTTATTTAAAATAGGGCAAGACGCTTACATCAGCTATAGGAATACCCAAGTACTCAGTTGTAATTGGTGTTGTTAATTTTAAAGCCAATGGAGGAAGGTAGAGGGAAGCATTGACGGTGACTTCACGCCAGTTGCCTTTCAAAGCATACGCTTCTAAATTTCTGCTCCTCACAATTTTCTGTAAAGAGTAAAGAGAAGTTATTCAACACTGAAAGGAAATATGGCATGATTCATGAAGTGGAGCTAGAGTTCTAGATAAATATTTAGGTGACTTGAGGTGAATTGATGTTCATCAACGTCAAGACTAACACGGCACTTAGGAAATAAAGAAATGATAACTTAGATGGAACGAGAATGAAAAGCTTGTTTCTCTGTTGTGACCTTGTTGTTTCCTAAATACTAGCTTGGGGTCGAGCTGAACCATCTATCATTTAAGTTCGTTTGGTCATCGCTACTCTGCAAAATAGAGGTGGTTAAAGAGATTCCCTGATTGCAGAGAGGGAGCTCAAAGGACATGGAAGAGGTTCCAAATGTGGGATGTTTAAGTGTCGATGTGAGTTATTTTATGGGATGAACGTTTGGGGAAAGAGACGTGGACCAATGACGCTCTCAACGCAATACGAGAAGTCATTCCGTGTCAATTTATTGGGTGGACTATTCGTGGTTGTGCACTTTGATATATGGTCACAAACAAGTTCATACTGAACCGTCGTACGTCTTTAAGCGCTTTATTTTAATTAATTCGAGGTGTGCGATAGACTTACCTCCACGTGGTGCACCCTGGGCTGTGTGCGATAGACTTACCTCCACGTGGTGCACCCTGGGCAGCGTATTTTCTTACGGCAAAAAAGTCTATCACTCGGCTTTCGTTATATTCATACGGCAAAAAGTCTATTAACTGGCAGTTAACTACGATAGACTTACCTCCACGTGGTGCACCCTGGGCAACGTACTTTCTTACGGCAAAAATTCTATCACTCGGCATTCGTTTTTCAATAGACTTACCTCCACGTGGTGCACCCTGGGCAACGTATATTCATACGGCAAAGTCTATTAACTGGTAGTTGACTTCTCCACATACGGCAAAAATGTCTATTAACTGGCAGTTGACTTCTCACTTCAAACTACCAAATAAAAAAGTCTATTATTCGGCAGTTGACTTCTGACTTCAAAGCGGCAAAAAAGTCTATAAACCGGCAGTTGACTTCTCACTATCGGCAAAAAAATTCTATTAACCGGCAGTTGACTTCTGACTTCAACGGCAAAGTCTATTAACTGGTAGTTGACTTCTCCGCATACGGCAAAAAAGTCTATTAACCGGCAGTTTTCTTCTCACTTCAAACTACCATGACCCCCCTATATGTCCTACATTCTCATACGGCAAAAAAGTCTATTAACCGGCATTTGACATGACTTCAAACTACAATCACCCCACTGTATGTCAAATTCGACTACTTGACTTCAAACTACCATCATCCCACTCTATGCCATATTCGTAAATTCGACCACTTCAACAGTACTCATCTTACCTTTTCTCTTCGACTTCTCACTTCAAACTACCATCACCCCACTGTATGTCAAATTCGACCCCTTCCACAGTACTCACCTCACCTTTGCTCTACTGTCGACTTCTTCCACAGTACTAACCTCACCTTTTTTCTACCTATTTCTCACTTCAAACTACCATCACCCCACTGTATGTCATATACCTCTGACTTCAAACTACCATCACCCCACTGTATGTCATATTTCACCACTTCCACAGTACTCACCTCGCCTTTTTTCTACCTTCAGTTGACTCTGACCCCACTGTATGTCATATTCGACTAAGGCAGTTGACTTCTCACTTCAAACTACCATCACCTCACTTATGTCATATTCGACCCCTTTCACAGTAATCATCTTACCTTACTGTGTCATATTCGACTACTTCCACAGTACTCACCTCACCTACAGTTGACTTCTCACTTCAAACTACCATGACCCCACTGTACGGTAGTTGACTTCTGACTTCAAAGACAAAAAAGTCTATTGATCGGCAGTTGACTTCTGACTTGCAAAAAGTCTATTGATCGGCAGTTGACTTCTGACTTCAAACTACCATCACCCCACTCTATATCATATTCGACTATTTTTACAGTACTCACCTCACCTTTGTCCATATTCGACCATTTCACAGTACTCACCTCACCTTTTTTCTTAAATTCGACCACTTCAACAGTACTCATCTTACCTTTTCTCTTCGACTTCTCACTTCAAACTACCATCACCCCACTGTATGTCAAATTCGACCCCTTCCACAGTACTCACCTCACCTTTGCTCTACTGTCGACTTCTTCCACAGTACTAACCTCACCTTTTTTCTACCTATTTCTCACTTCAAACTACCATCACCCCACTGTATGTCATATACCTCTGACTTCAAACTACCATCACCCCACTGTATGTCATATTTCACCACTTCCACAGTACTCACCTCGCCTTTTTTCTACCTTCAGTTGACTCTGACCCCACTGTATGTCATATTCGACTAAGGCAGTTGACTTCTCACTTCAAACTACCATCACCTCACTTATGTCATATTCGACCCCTTTCACAGTAATCATCTTACCTTACTGTGTCATATTCGACTACTTCCACAGTACTCACCTCACCTACAGTTGACTTCTCACTTCAAACTACCATGACCCCACTGTACGGTAGTTGACTTCTGACTTCAAAGACAAAAAAGTCTATTGATCGGCAGTTGACTTCTGACTTGCAAAAAGTCTATTGATCGGCAGTTGACTTCTGACTTCAAACTACCATCACCCCACTCTATTACTTTAACGGTACAAGTCTATTAACTGGCAGTTGACTTCTCACTTCAAACTAACAAGTCTATCAACCGGCAGTTGACTTCTGACTTCAAACTACAATGAGCCGACTATTGCCCCATCCACAGAACTCATCTTACCTTTTTTATGCATTTATGTCTTTCTGTCTCACTTCAAACTACTATGGCCCGACTATTTGTCATATTCGACCCCGTTCACAGTACTCATCTTACCCTTTTTATGCCTTTGTGTCTGTCTGTCTGTCTCTTTTAAAGTAATGTCTATTAACCGGCAGTTGACTTCTGACTTCAAACTACCACCACCCCACTGTATATCCTATTCAACTACTTTCACAGTGCTCACCTCACCTTTTTTCTACCTTTGTGTTTTTCTCTTTTACATCTTTGAAACACTCTTCTGCCCACCCCTCTCAACTTTTTTCACTTTAATGTTCCTTTCCTCCTGTGAAACCTGAAATCAACTAATGGGCTAATGATAACTATCAAAACGCCTGCCATTTGATATAAATAAGTCAATTTTAATTAGTGCGAACGAACCACTAAAGCCAGAATACCACTGTAACGATGACTTACCGAAAATGAAGACAGTGGAGCAATTGTATCAAGTATTTCTCTAAATCGAGTGTTGAAAAAGTAAAAACACTCTACTCAAGCTAAATATTTTTCAGCCCTCGGATTATTACTATGAAGCTTAGATTGATAAACCAAAATGATGCATTTAATTGGGCGGTATATGGATAGTTCATAGAAATAACAAAGACATTTTACAACTTACTTTAACATTTAATTCGGGTTTTTGGAATTCGTAACCAATTTTTTTCACTATCTCAGGTGGTATTTGCAAATCGGGGATTTTATGAAACAGTTTATTGAATCCAATCACAAATTCATTAGCAGTTCGGGTAATAGCTGAATTGATTGACATTTTCAACCATTCTATTTCATCGGGATGATCTGAAAGATGGAGAGAAGTCTTTATAAATAAAATTATTTTCCCTATTAATGCACATGTTTACACTTTACGACAAAAATAGTACCATTGTCAAGAGACGAATTTTAATCAACTTCGTTTGTATTAAAATAAGTAGCAGCAGCTGACCTTACAGGAAGAAGTGGGAAGAGTTGCAACTCATGAGATTTTTTCCACTTGGGAAATAAATTTATTAATTGAATATAAAAGACTTGTTTGGTTGCCTAGCAAGTTCAAGTTGCAAGGAAATCAAGCCATCATTATTTGTAGACAATTTTCTCTCACTGTCCCAAGACTTGAACGTTCATAAACACTGTCTCAAAGCATAACTTGATCTAAACACAAATCCCTGAACGAAATGGGAAAAATTTAAACAATCACTTCACCTTTCTGTCAACAAAATTTTCTCCCAGCCTTAATCATACTTTTGTAGAGATTTAAATGGACCAAGTAACCAAGTTGCATTATTATTATTATTTTAAGTATGCCCAGCAATGCAAAATAACCAATCGAACCACTTTCTGCAGATATGCGTAAATGGTCAATAAAGCAGTCATATTCGACAGATATGTGGATTGCACAATGTTCCCATGAGTAATTCAAAGAACCTCTTTCCTACTCGAAAAATCTGAAAATTTCGCGTACTTGCAGAAATCTTAGCAAATTGGTCATCGATTTTACGCAACATCGAATAATGTTGATTGTGAACAATGTCTAAAAATGTTAGTAATTGGCAAACATATACAATAATAACTTTAACTTTAAATTTTCCATGTTCTCTCTTTCTTGGTAGTATCCCAGATAATTTTGGATGCAAAGTTATTCCTGAATAGTTTTCAAAAGAGGTTTGCATGGTTTAGCCTAAGCCAGTTTATGCCGTATCCACCTCAGCTGCCTGTTGGTCCTCCATGGTAACATATTTTCTGTATATACTCGCAAGATTTTTCTTATATGTCAACTCATGGGCAAACAGAATGAGATATAAAGTAGAAATGAGTATTCTAATGGTAGGAACTTCTGCGTTAACAGCTTACATGTACCTTCTCTAGGTTTGAATAGGGCAGTTGGCAGAAGATTTTTAATTGAGTCGATGAACTTTTGCGCGTGAGATTCGATGCTTTGCAGAATTCTCGTAATCAGTTCAGGTTGGTAAAGTTCTCTGGTATCCAATTTCTGCAAAGATTAGTAGAGATTTGAGAAAACATTTAGCAGAATATTAAACATTAGTTGTTAACTGAATGCTATTGCCTTCATTTTCAATTTACATTAAGACCTTTTGGAGGGGGTTATGTTTATTGCTAATATATTACCCTTCAGTATCTCCTCATGATCCCTGATACATTTATCTCAAAATTATTTGCGAACTCAATTGCAAATGTGCTATTGACCTCCAAGTATAAGATATATGGGAAATGAATTTCGCATTATTCAGAACTTCTCCGTTTCAATTCATTTCTGCATTCTAACTAATTATCAGACAACAATTTGTAATCGAGCTTACTGAACAGGTGAAAGGTACAAAAACTTTAATTCTACCACAATGATCTAGGTGCTAGGCTGAAGTTGACTCATCTGTTCATAGGTATTAGTTCTCTTCTTGTTAATAATTTTTGAAGACCAAACCCCCCCCCCCGGCCGAGTTAAAAACAGTATTTGTTCAAACTAACTAACGAGGTGTATATATTGGCATTTATAGTAGGAAATGGGTTATTTAAAGACCACTTGTGAAAGGGGTGCCTCCCGTGAATAGATATTGAGTCACAAACTTCGAGTTGTGTTTCTTGGCGTAATTTCAATTATTCATTGTTCAAACCCAAACTGTTATAAAACGAAATCAATATAAAATAAAGACTTCAACAGGTGTGGGGCGTAGAAATAATGTGTCTTCATAATAATATTATTTAAGATTTTTCTCATCGAAAGCAAACAGAAACCCCTCGCAAATACTAGTGCTGTAAGTTAACTAACTTGTTGTTATTGCTTGTGAGTAACAAATAATTATCTTATTCAGCTCTTTGAACATAAATTAAGTTCGATGCGAATCACAGACGGGTGGACTGGACACACTCTTCATCGGCTATCACGAGTAGGAAAAACTGGATCTCTTTTATCTTCACAATTAAATGGCATTTAAAAACACCAGGAAAATAATAGAATAAATTCAAACATTAATACACATACAACAAACATTCCAACTTACAGTGAACCATGCTTGAGCCTGATTAAGCAAGTCAATAGTTTTTTCATACAGCTCATCACCAAGGCTAGAATTTGATAGACGTTTGTTTGTGAAATGCTCCATAGCAAATGAGGAAATCAGGTCTTGAATATGCCTTTTGACAGTAGACCTAGTCTCCTCCACCATCGTCATATTTAAGAGATCATGCTTTTGGACCACTCCTTCAACGAAGGGGTTAATGAAGCTCTCCTCCATATCTCCTATTAAGTAAGGAATCTTGGCTGCAATGGAATTCTTCAGCACATCAACCTATTAAGTGATATGCAATTATGAACCAATACCAGCATTTCATCCATCAAGTAAAAGCTAGAAAGTAAACTAACAAAAATGTCATAAAGAAGGTCCCTTCTCCAGAACTGATTGAAATGATATACGCCACTTTTATCGTCTAAGTAAGTGAAAATTTCAGCATCGAGAACTTTTTCGCTGTTATTGTAGCTATGCCAAATTTGACCGAAAACATTCAGCAACGAAGTCATCTTTCCTTCCAAAACAGCCTCTACAAAGTAAAATATAACTTTAATAAACGAATTTCATCTGATTAATCCAATTATTTCAAATCTGGTATTGGCCAATATTCATTATTATTTATTTAAAGAGTGAGTATCTAATAAACTTCATCTGTTCAGTTTCTTGAATTCTGATTCTCGAATATAGAACCCTTTTAATCCCCTCATTAATCGATTTAAGCTGAGAGAAAATAAATCAAAGATCCATGTCCTTAAAATGATCCAAAGATTGTTGTCAGCAGTACGATGCTGAATGATGGGTGTTCTGATTACTGCTTGACTGTTAATGTTGGGCCAATATGGATGAATGGCGAAGTCCTGATTGAAAAGTCACTCTGAGAGAGCTGGTCACAAAAGCATTTGAAAGGGGGAGACTAAATCTATTAACAATACTTCGCATGAGAATGAACATTCTATCGAAAATGCTGTTGAAAGCTCATCTTCAAGCATATGTGCACGAATAATATGTTAGTGCAAAACAAGGCAAATAGTGAATAAGTGTTAAGTTAGACTGAAAGCGACATTTATACCGTTTGTCCTAGGGTATGCAATAGACTTACCTCCATGTGGCGCACCCTGGGCAACGTATATTCATACAGCAAAAGTCTACAAATCCGCAGTTGACTTCTGACTTCAAACTACCATCACCTCACTCTATGTCACATTCGACTATTTTCACAGTACTCACTTCACCTTTTTTCTACCTTTGTGTTTGTCTCTTACATCTTTGAAACACTCTTCTATTCCCCCCCCCTTTCGACTTTTTTTCAATTTGATGTTCCTTCCCCTCTGTGAAGCCTAAAGTCAACTAAAGGGCTAATGATAACCATCAAGACGCCTGCCATTTGATATAAATAAATAATCGTGCGTCCTA